GGATTGAGATGTAGTTGGCTGTACGGCCATCATTGGAGTACCACGTCAGAAGATACTTCCTGGGATGATGGGAGCGAGTATTGGTCATGGACAACCGATTAAGCTCGGCGAAGCTGAGCAAGTGGTCTCCATTATCACAGCGCTCTCCAACGGCGCAGCTCCCGAGTATGTGACGGTTTGACCATTCCTCGGCTTACTTTGTGTATTCCAGTCCCCAGAAATAATGAGGATATCGCGTTTTGGAACAGGGTTCACCGGCATCCGTAGAGTATCGCAAATTCGTCTTTGTCCCTTTTCCGCTAAAGGTAGGGTTGGTGCGTAGACATGAACTATGGTCATATGCATCTATTGACCTTTAAAACAAGCAACTGCTATTCTAGCTAATACTAGCTTCCATGAAAGGAGAGCGTAGTGTGCCTGACAACAGAGCCATGGTGACCCAGTGATTGTCACTATGTGTCTACATCAGGGACTTTGATTTGTCGAGAGCCAAAGCCGGGTATTCGAGATTCAGCCAGGCTTGCTTTATCGAGTTGGCCGTCATGTATTGTGCGCATGACCAACACTTGGCTGCCGACATCCAACAGGGTTTCAGCATCCAATGAATAATGGCTTCAAGGGGACCCAGCTAGCTTACTTGTCACTCTGGCCACTGGGCCAGCGCAGAGCGCGTCGCCTACCGGGAACGCCGTAGCATGAGAAGGATCGCGTGTAACGGACATCATGAAGTTTAGTGAGGATTAAGGGTAGGTACGAGGACTCCAATCTCATCCAGCTTTCGAATGAGGGTTCACCTCTAGTCTTTGCACAGCCAAGTGACATCTGCAAGGTAGCACGGATCTTGGAAATTGTCTTAACTTCTAGCAGTTGAATCATGGGTCGATCTTTTTCGCCCAGTTGTCAGGACTGAAGTCGAATGAGGATACGAACTAACAAAGAATAGCGTTCCCGGCTACCCTTACCTGGTTTAGCCCGTCTGCCTGACGGCTGATTGGGGTGTAGCCGCTGCCGCGTGCAAGCAGTTTCGGAGCCACAGGTGAGAACTGGGAGACCAAAAATAGGCGAACTGCCCCAGAGGATGGGACAGGTCCCCTATTAGAGGTGCTAATCCTCCCTGGCACCCAGAACACCTGTAGCTCTCCTCCTCCAAACACGATCTCAATTCATATGCATAATATAATACTTCCTTTTGCGGCACAGTAGTCGGTTGTTAGCTCTCCGGAACGATGTCCATCCATTACCTGTGACTCAGCCGGCGTGCCTTTGCATTCTTTTCTTTTCTAATGTGTTCGGTACAATAGCTGAGGTGTTCTCTACCTCTAGCTAACATGTATAATGATGATGACAATGGACACCTGTAACTCGGCGGCCAACGCAGTGTAGGCGCCCGTAATGCTAACGGTGAGCGGTTGCCTCACCTGTGTGAAGATGCTCGTCTCTACCTCGCGAGCACTAACTTTTGATACAGCACCTGAAGAAAAGTGACGTGGCGTCCACCAGCCCCGGACCAGTCACAGAGGTAAATCGGACACATAGCGATCAGTTACGGTCAGGAACTGCGTCAAAAAATGCCACTCAATTTGGAGCACGGGCGTGGACTCTGACCGCGCACTTGTTTGTGCCGACCTTACAGTTCACTTCGGTGGGCGCATGCACCAACGCTGTGAGAGCATATATACTTGCCAGCTGGCGAGGCAAGATGTTCTGAATGCGTATCAACGCACGCTGGCATGCGGGTTGAGTAACCGCTCACTGAAGGGAGTTGAGGATCACTGGTCGCATGTCCACAAGACGTTATTAGCAGCAGGTATATTTTCATGCGGCAAATCAGATCGCCAACCCGGATTTCGAGTCTCTAGGCAGTCTCTGGAAAGTTTGGACGCTTACCGACACATTTCGGCAGGAAGCAAATACAATCAGAATCGTAAAACATCAGAGTGAAACTGCGTGCTAGCCTGAAGAGAAACCGCGAAATCTGGTGGTCTCATAATGCATCGGAAATGGAGACAGCCGCTGCCCTTGATAACCATCGGGTTATTCCGACTTATACGGGACACGACCAGCAGAAGCCCTGGTATTGGCGAAACTTTATGCGAGGAGAGTGGAGCCAATCCACAGCTTATCAAAACGCTCGCATCGTCGAGCGAAGCACTTCAAGAAGCAGTTCGATTAAACAGAGGTACACTCTTCCTTATCCGCCATTGATTGTCCTACACCCTAGTCGGTCCCCTTGGATCCGCCTGCATGCGCGGAGGTCGAATGTGAGATCAGACTGTTGAAATTGAACAAGGCTGCAGGAGCAGATAAACTTTCTCCAGCCCTACTCAAATTCTGGGGACCAGCTCTCACAAATGAATTGTACAACTTACTAGTTAAGCTGTGGGAGCAGGAGACTGTGTCAACAGACTGGAGCCGCTCCGTTATAGTCCCTATTTTAGATGAAGGTTCACCTTCTGAATACAGCAATCATAGGGATCAGTCTGGTCTCACTTGCCATTAAGTCGCTTGCGTCGGTCGTGCTCCATAAAATGACTGGCACCCATGAGCCAGATTCGGGAGGAGCAAGCCGGATTTCGTCGAAATCGTGGCTGTATTGACCACAACTTCACCCTACGCCAATTGTTGGAGCACTACCATATCTATGGACGACACGTAATAGTCGTGTTTCTCGATATCATAGGTGCCTTCTATTCGGTGAGCCGATGTGCTCTTTTTGACTGTCTGCTCTGGAAAGGTGAGCCCGATAAATATGTAAATATTATCCGAGCGCTTTATGCGCATAGTCCGGACAGAGTGAAGGTTTATGGCAAACTGTCGCCGCCCTTCAAAATCTCCAGCCGTGTGAGACAAGGTTGCCCGCCCTCATCTTTCCTATTTAACATCGCCGTTGACGAAGTCATGGAAATGGCATTCACTGGGCAAAACAGTCTGGAGCTGCTTCCTAGTGAGCGAATTTTTGACTTGAAATAAGCCGACGAGATTGCCCTTATCTGTGATAGGTCACAAACGTGCCAAGCAGCACTGATTGTCAGCCGTTTAAAGCTATACTTCGCACCCTCGAAATGCAGCCTTCCTCCAAGATTAGCAGGGACCCACCTCTGGGCTGATTCTTGGTGGTGATCAGCTATAAGTGGTCCAGAAATGCAAGTTCCTTGGCAGGTGTATTAGCATCTGTAGAATAGAAGATGAAATCACAAACCGCACAGCAAAAGCCCAGGGTGCTTTTGTCAATCTCCGTCATCTTTAGTGTCGGCGCGACACGACTCTCACCTTGAAGGGCAGAGGTTATAACGTATCCGTGCGTTTAACTCTCCTATAGGGTTGGGAAACCCGGCTTATCACGTCGACAGACCTAAAGTGGCTAGTTAGTTTCGACCATCCGTCTTTGCAGTTTGGCTTATGTCTGGTGGGAACACCACGTGAACAATGAGTGTCCGGGGTCGTGCATTTGGTGAGGGAAAAGAGAGTGAACCGCTCAGCACTATTATATCACGCACCAGGTACCACTGGCTGGGCTAAAAGTTGCACATGCCAGCATACCGACTCCCACGATATGCGCAGTTTGCGCGACCGGGGTCTGGTGGGAAGAAATGACAAGCGATGACTTGGTCAAGTGGAACGAAAGCCATCACTTCGAAATTGGCGTCGGTTGGTGAATCCCAACTGCCGAGCTGGGGTCCCAAGGACAATGGACACGTTTGGTTGGATACACTTGTTGACATGCCCAGGAGCCAACCTCAGTGACATTTGTGTCGTGGGTTTCTTTATCCTCCTCCTCCGGTTTATCTTCCCTCTCCAACAATGAGGTCAGAAAGCATGGATAATAGGATAGATAGCATCACATTAGTTGCTTGTTAATCTGTATTCTGTGATGTCTCGTATGTTGTTCTTCTTAGATCTTATCGTTCGTATTGCGGCACAGTTAGCTGAAGTGTGTTTCCCACCTTCAGCTTAAGTGTAGTGATGATGATGTTTGATACCTGGAGATGAAACGCAAACAGTAAAATTCATCCGTGGCAAATGAGAACCAGCAAAATGATTTGGGTTAAATAATAGTGTGGTAATGTCAATGACTTCGTTTTGCAGGCTAAGGTGAGGGTTGAATAGTTCGGCAGTGAGGATGAGACAATCTCAACTGGAGCAAAAAGAGTAGAGGACGTCCTAGGTGGTTAGTTGGAAAATTGCAGTTTTAGGATGTAAGTCAGGTATCAACCCTAAAAATGCGATGTGAAATGGCGGAATAAAAGGCATCAGCAGTACGCCGGTATGCAGTACCGCTGCCGCACAACCAGCATCGGTCGCAGGTTGGCTAAGGTTACTGAGAGGGTCGTCCGATCCCTATACAGGCTCGAACCGCTTCCTTAGATCACTAGGCGAGCTTTTGATTCTTAAAGCTAAGGACCGGTGGAATAATTGATGGATTGGACAGGGAAGCACGTTGGGTAGCGAACATAAGGTAACACAAAGCCCATCCAACCGCGAATTCCGACGGCATCCACATGATCCCCGCCACACACGGTTTACTAAAGAGCCAGAGCAAGAACAGCAGTTTCCAATTAAAATGTGGCTTAGGCAACATGAAAGAAGAGGGAACTCTATATGATCGAGGTGCTTGTTATTAGCAACTGATTTTATGCAGGTGGTAGAAAGCCGACTATTGGACGTGATTCCGGGTCGTAGACTGCAGGGATTATATTTGAACTCCAGTCGACGTGAACGTCTCTGAAAGAACTCGAAAACGCTATGTAGTTAGATCTAGAAAGCCAGTAGATTACGAGAATCGCTAATTGAGGCCAAACTATGTGATTGAAGATCATCTGCACAGTAAAATAAATTCTCGGTGTCTTCGCCTGATGCATCAAGACAGATGAACGCTTGGGGGCATGTGCACAAACGAAAAAGGAAGATGGTCTATACTGATCAGTCCATGTAATTTTGGGGAACGTAAATACACATCGGAAAAATCGATTCGCACAGCGTGAGCCAAAAAACACGCTCACCTTCAGCATATACACGACGCCAGCTCCAGTTACGGAGGTCGTAGGCCCATAAATCGTTGAACATAGTAAATTTGTTAGTAGCTCCACCGAAGACGTAAATGGATTCACCGTAATGCATCATCAGAGAACCGAACCTCTCTGATGGTGCCGGCTGGATTGAAGTTTTGCTCGGGTAGCATAATCTTGGTACACTCCAGCGAAGCGGGGACTTCAGAGTAAATGCAGTGGAACACAGATCGGCGCGCACTCTCTTTACTTCTAGGCAAATGTCATGCCATCGCTTACAAACTTGGAGGACGTTGGGGAAATCTGTACAAGGAGACAGTAACATGAAGATGTACTGCAACAATTCAGCAGGTAAATTTTGCAGCATTTTGATCACAGCCCGGACAGTCGAGTGTCAATGGTATTCTTTAAGGAAAATTAGTAAACCTTGACGAGACCAAATGACGGGTTACACTTTCGAAAAAAAATTGACGAAACATAATGCGGAGCAGTTGCAAGTAAATGTCAGTTCCGAAAAGTAACGTGCGTTAGAAAATGTTCCCAGCGTTCTCCGAGACCGTGCTAATGAACGGTGTAATACGCATTCGGTCGAGGATTACGAGGACTTCTGTGTCCAGGGCGTGCGTAGATCGTAATAGACCGCGGGCTGCAATGCAAAACAAGTACCTTGTAAGCGGCTGCGTGCTCACCTAGTAAGAGACCACATTATATAAAACGTGTGACTGGCTAACACCTCGTGGCGAGCTGAATACCGTTGTCAAAACTGCCGAGGAGATCAGAATCAGTGTAGTAGAACAATATCACAATATGTCATCTCTGCCAAAGTAAAGAAAAAGCAAAAATGACCAATGCAGAATGCGAGCAGGTGTAAAGTCAAATATATGGTCGTTTAGAAACGCACAAAATATGGATATAAAACCACTAAAACAGCACTAAATTAGGTGTCAATCTTTTAGAGCTGCTAGTGCAGCCGCATCATACCCACGCGACGAAAGGAGGTCGAACATGGCATCTGCATCGAATACAAGTCCGTAAAATGTTTGTCAAAGCTTTGCTGGAAGCATTACACCGAAACTGGAAGAACAATATGACTGGGTAACCAGTTCCAGAAATGCATCACGCGTCGCGTAAAACAATGAGTATGTGCAACACGGTCCATACACGGAATTTCCAGAGTGCAAGCATGCTCTCGTGTTAGTGTATCCAGAATGCAGAAAATATACGTCAGATGAGAAAAGTGTCCCAGATGAAGGATTCTGCAAATTGTAACGAGATCAATTCTGGCTCCTGTATACCAGTGTGTGAAATCGCAATTTATAGCACCTCTATTGATAGGATAAGCCACGAAGCGCAGTAATTAGGCGATTGGTGCTGTACTTTCTCCAGTTGTTTCATCGCACCTATTGTGCTGGGAAAGTAAGCCGGTGCACCGTATTCTAACAGCAGGCGAACCCTGGTGACGGGTAGCCCGCAGCCGTCTCCTTCGACCAAACGTGGAACGTCCGCTTTAGTGACAAAAGCATAGGGAGGCTGGAACAACAAATCTTGTCCGTATTGCCCGACAAATTTAAGTCCCATCGGGATAGTACTCCTACTGTTGCAACAGAATATAGTCGTCGTCCATCGATACTGTAAGTTCTGTCACGACATTACTTGTCGATGCTAAGAAATTGGGATTTCGTAGGATTCAACGGATGACAGTTTGTTGGTGTCCATGAAGATATTTCATCAAGGTGCGTCGATATTTTCCTCCAAACATTCAAGTCATCGGCGAATAGATGTCAACCGTCCTGGTGGGCCACTGATATGAAACAAGAACAGCATTGGGTCAAGTACTTTATCCTGTGGCACATTATCATGGTATACGATAGTTATTTACCTAAACGTAGCACTGTTGCTCGTGCAGTAAAGATTGGACCCATTTCAATAAGCCCCCACCCAATGAATTTAGATAGTAAGATAAAGTGATTAACTCTATTAAATGCTTTGCTAAAACCGATCAACAAGGCATCAGCACTTTTACCTTTGTTGACTGCTTCAATCAAACTGTGCCGGGAAGTCAGAAGATTAGTCGTACAAAACCGTCCTTCCAGAAAATCATGTTGAACTGCTGTGAGCATATTGTGATTCTGCAAGCTCAAACAGTGCCCGCTTGACTACTTGCACCAGTAAATTGGCCAATACTGGTGTTAGACAAATCGGTCCATAATTTTTCATCTCGCTTTTATTGCCACTTTTAGGGAACGGTCGTACAATCGCCTGCTTCCAGTCGCGGGGGACGTTCCTTTCTGTTAGAGACCTTAAACAAGTCCGTCACCACCGGTGCGACAATAGGTGCCAGTCTTTTGAGAAGCAGTGTATGCAAGCTATCTGACCATGGCGGTTTGGGGTAAGGTAAATTAGTTAGCAATCTCACTATTTTTCTCTCCGAACATGATACGGTAACCAGTTTGGTATCGATCTTTGTACATTCCAATGCTGGAGCGACGGTGTCGAACACCATCCCGAAATGTGAAGCAAGTACTATAGCTCGGTTCTTGTCGGCGGTCAACAATACACCAAGTGAATTTTCCAGGACTGGTAATTTGTCAATTGGCTTAAGCTTACGTCAGATATACGCAAAAAAATTTTAGGTGCCGCTTTCGCAATTTCGGATAAGCGTGTTTCGCAAGCCGCACGTTTGCAGCAGTTTGGAGATTTCCCGGAATTCATTGTTTATTAAGTCCATTGATTCGTAGAGGACAGAGAGAGGTCCCACATCAGCCGCATCACCACCAGTTCAGAACAGGAGCATGTCATTGTGACCAACAGTCCTAGTGGGCTGGGGCAATCACAGCAGAACGGTGCAATCCTGATGTCTTACACAAGTGGGAGTTTAACAGCCACTTCAAACTTTCCTCAGACTGAGCACTGATAAAGTTCTCCGGAAGATGGTTCCAATCGTTCATCACCAGGGTGAAGAGAGAGACAGTAGAGTGAAGATGGGGCCTCATCGGTTTAAAGAGTTCCAAATCGTGACCTCGTGTCCAACGTCCTGCATTGAGGTGGAAAAACGGTTGCAGTTCGTTTCCAAGTTCCCCCCCCCTCTTAGTATGCGTTTGGTGAAGATGAGGTCCCCGCGGCGGCGACGGCAGTCTGTCATTCGGGAGAATGACCTCCTTATGGCGGAGCACACCCTGTTAGTAGCGGCTTCTCTCCTCAGCGTATCCTGGGTGGTGTTTAAGTTATAGACTATTAGTACCCCTAAATTTTTCGCTCGAGTAGTGTTGTGAAAGAAGCCACCAAGATGGTATATACCGAGTGGCTCAGACGAACCTATTGGAAAGACGCAACATTTTTCAGAATTGATCTGTAAGCCCATTTGATGGACCATTGGTGTAGCACATTTAGCGAGTCCTGTAGTCTCTCAGCGGCATCAAGGACGGGTACATCAGTCTATAGCTTAGTCATCTGCATAGATTAGACACTCATTTGAAGTGTTCCAAGGTCATTAATGAAGAGCTTGAACAGTTCAAGCCCAAGGACAGAACCCAGTAGAACTCCAGTGGTCATGTGCACTGGTCGAAAAAGTGTCGTTTAGCTTTACTTGCAAGGTTCTTCCGTGCAGAAAATCCGCGATCCAGGAGTAAAGGTTGCCACTGATACCAATTTCGCGGAGCTCGCAGAGTAGCCTTAGCGAATGTATTGCTAAAATCGACGAAGACAATATCTGATCGTTGACCGGCATCGAGTGAATTTGTCCATTTTATCTCGCGACTAGCAGGTTAGTAGTGTAAGAGCGTCCCTTCTGAAAGCCATGCTGTGTAGAGGATGTGATGTTCAATTCATCACAGTGGTTCTGGAGAATGGCTTTGATAAGCATTTCCATGATCTTGCAGATTAATGATGTCAAGCAAACAGGACAATAGTTCACATGATCTTGAGGGTTCCCGCCTTTGTGCTTAGAAGCACGATACCTGTTTTCCAGTCGACGGGTAGACAACAAGTTGTAGAAGCAAATGGAAGACTTGGCTGATGGGTGCAGCCATGCAGTCAGCCACTGTCGTAAGGGACAGGGAATGAAGACGGTCAAGACCAATTGAGGAGTTTGGATCCGGTTCTAGTAGAAGTTTCATAATCGCTACCGTGTTGAATTCGATCTGATGCAAACTATGGGAGTGTTTGGACTCATAGTCATTGGTAGACTGAGCATCCAGTGAGTATACGGAGAAGTAATGCCTTGTCAGAAGGTCCGGTTTCGCATCATCCTCGTACAGTACAGAGTTAGTTGTATGAGATAACAACGCAGGTGTCACAGCTGGCTTTGGTCCTCATGTTAATATACGCATAGGGTACTTTGGGCCTAGACCGGGATTGTGCAGCAGACTCTGTTCACAATGGTGTTTCTTCACTTGCTTTCTAAGCTTGTAGTTGGTATAATCCGAGAACAGTTGAGAGGCCTTAAATGTCCCATAGGTTTCTCAGTTGTTTCATTAGAAGCGATAGTTCTCGATCCATTTAGGGAGGACTTCTAACAAAACGCCGTCGTTTGGTGTTTGGGACGACCTGATTTTTGAGTGCAAAAGGGCCTGGGCACAGTCGAGTCCCAGATCTTGTGGGACGTACCAGTCAAGCTTGCTAGCCGCGTCTGTCAGGTGGGATGAGTCGGTGCGGTAAAAACTGCGGCGATAGATTCCTTAGTCAGAAGTGACAAGACGTCGCGTCCACCTGAAGATGAGAGTACAGTGATCGCTATGACTAACTGGTGGCAGAGTGGTCAGTCCAGCGATGTCAGAAGAGACTGGTGTGATCACCAGATCGAGAATATACCATGGCTCGCCCGGAAGTATCCTTGTAGGCGTGGAGACATGTAATAAGTTGGTATCGAGGACTGCTCCAGGAAGGTCAGCATCAAATGATGTGGGAAAAAGCCCACAATGAAGTAGATCCCAAGCAATATCCGGTGCATTGAAATCACCCAGAATTAGGCAACCCGTGCCCCCTCCAGAGGTCGTGAGTGAGTCTAGAATACAGCTACCATTACCGGATGGGGCTTATACACTACTCCGACTGTAAAGGGTTTGCATCTGTCGTGAATTCGACATCAGAGCATTTCTGTACTCCCATCGCTGATCCCCTTGATAGTGTATTTTATGATCTGTTCTCCAGTAGAGAATAAAATCACCCCCAGACCTCGATCCACGGCGATCAGCTTCAGAAAGCTGGTATCCGGGGAGATGAACCTCGCCATCGGGAGTATCAGAAATTAGGCAGATTTCAGTCAAAGCTATCAGGTCGGGGCGCAGCTCCGAGATAAGGGAGCGGATCCCATCCCGGCTGCTTCTTAGGTTGCGCACGTTGACAGACCACGCGTAGTCCATTTATCAGCCTTGATCCTACGGTCCGAGTAGGACTAGGAACGGCATCCAGCGCACTCCTAGGATATACAGCACAACTCGAAAATCCACAGCATGGACATTTGTATCGCCGTTTGATCTTCGGGTTCGCAGCTCATCGGCGGTTCATCACCATCATCATTATACACGTCAGCTAGAGTTGGAGAACACCTCAGCTACTGTGCCGCAATACATAAAGGAAAGGGAAAATATATACAACAGCTGCTTGCCAGCTGAGCTACCAGCAACGGATAGGCATCGTTCCTGTAAG